AACAATAATATCGTCCCTCCCTCTATCTGCCGAGGCGGCAGCGGGCGACGGCGCCCCTCCTCCCTCACCCTCACGCGGGCACCGCCCATGTCGGCTCGCCCCCTCCCCCTCCGGCGCCTGCGTGGGCAGGCGGCCAGCCGGTGCCTACACCCCGGCCCCTCGCACGCTCGCCTGGCCAGGAGGTCGAGGTGGCCTGGATCTGCCCTAGGCGCTAGCCGGGCGGCGGCCGACCGGGCCAACTAGTCCACAGTGATCGGGGTTGAGCGCGTGGCACGAGGCGTGACCTAGCCCACCAAGCAACCCCTGCCCCTCCGCTCGGCATCCACATCTCACCCTCTGTTGCCCGTGGGCGGCTCCTCCGAAATCCCGACGGCGGCTAGCTCCTCGCACCTCTGTTGTGTGCAGCGCGTGGCCGGTGGCGTGCTTGTGTCGTCCAGCCTTCGACAGCGCCACGGCGGCTCCCTGCCTGTGCTACCATTGCCCTCAATCCCTCTCTCATCTCCCTCTGACCCTCCCGGCGCCGGCAGTCCCCTGCCTCCCAGGCCGTCCCGGCTGCTCCCTGCAAGAACTCTTCCATCAATCTTGGGTTGGTTTCTTCCCAGCAAATCTTGTTGAGGGCTCCCTAGAGTCAACCAACAATCTTGCTGCTTATTGTTTCTTCCCAGCAAATTAATTAATGATGCAGTGATTGTTGTTTGGTTACTCCTTTATAGGATGGAATAGGTAAGAGCAATGGTGGCAAGAAGAGGGAAGATAGTCACAGGATGCGACAGTATAGGTCGTAGCTTCAACAGGAAGTTGGTGATATCTTGAGCCCTGAATTTATTTTTCGCTATACTGTAATGGGGTCACCTGATGTGAATTACTAACCCTGTGATGAAAATTGTGCAGGTCGAGGAATTTCTGAGGCGCCCCCCAACAGATCCCACTGCTCCTTCTCAACCTCCCTGCATGGATATATTGTTTTCATCAAGTCATTGCTCCTTCAAAAGTTATGTATTGGTCATGTAGTTCGCATAATATGTAGAGGCATCTCTAGCCTAAAACCATGCTTGGTAGTATTTATGTGGAATTTTGAGTCAAAATTTTATAATGCCAGGTTAATTTTTCTGTTTTTATAATGTAGCTGACAAATTTGAGCTGAGGCTTTCTATGTAAATTTGATGGTACATAATTGTTTCATCCTAATGTTTTATTTATGTTTGTTAGCTTGCTAAATTGATATTCTGGCCATAATATGAATGGTAGGATTATCCCCACGATAATCAGTTAGATTACTAAATATTTGCTTTTATGTTCTCTTCAGCTCATGATATTTGATTTGAGAGACAGTGACGAGCAGCATGTATGGCTATATGACAGAGATACTCGAAGGTCTTCAAGTGGGTTATGGTGCTATTCAAAAGTGATATACATTAATACTGGCTCTTGTTTAGCTGGAACTGAGAGGTGAATTTTTCATTGTTTAATTCTGTTTTTTTCACATTATTTGATACTTTAGTGATCTGAGTTTTCAGTGATCTAAGTTTCTTATGAGTTTTTCAAATCTTGCTAAATGCTGATGTTGTTAAAGAGTCATTGATCTGAGACTTATGTGATTATGTGCGTAGCAAAATACTGTCTTTGGGCTCTATCTGTCAGCGTGCCAGGGATGAACCACAATGGATTCATTTACTGGAGATCACACTGCCCATGGGCTATCCTGAAAGTCCTCCTTCAATCTCTGCAGTTAGTCTCTATCCTGATATTTCCATAAAGTAGGCATGTTTTTACTATATTTTGCAATTGCATGAAATTTCAGAACCATAGCCATATAATTGAACTTGTCTCATTAACAGGACATACCATATCTCCTAAAAATACAGTGGTAAAAAACCTCAAGACTGAAAGATGTTTTTTTGCCAATTCCAAGGGGTAGGTGAGCTTCTTTTTTATTGCTTCAACGATATGGTTGTCCAATTCATGGCGACGAGCAGGCGGCGACGATCAAGAAATATGCCTTACAACTGCAACTATGGAAAGCAATTAAGTAAATTTTTAGGATGCATTTTCTTTTTGTGGTGGTGGTTTCAACATTCTAATAACTTCATCCGTTCGGTTGCAGGACTATGTCCCCATCCTGATTTGGAGCATTGGAGCGGATGAAGTCTTTTGTATCAAACCATCTTCCTTCTACTAATTAATAAATAAATATGCTTCTGGTTGCACTGGGTTACACTGGTGTTCTGAATGGATGCTACCCTGAGTTGCATGTATTATGTGGAAGCACCATATCATACACATGTGGTCATCTATATTTCAGCGTTCATTGACTTGTAACTGAACTTTTGCCATTTGGATGTCTTCAATTATTTGTAGTGACTGACCAAAATAATGTGATGTATATGTCTGCCTTTGATTCATGGATGGACTTTGTTGCCTGCAGCAACCCAATTAACCAAACAAAACATGTAAGGCCATTCAAAAATTGGCTTTGAAAGCAGGGAACAAAACATGTATCACCATTCAAAAATTTGTTTGGTCGATTTTGTGTGCATCCCTAAAATGCCGCCGTGGCGTTAACACGGGCACTATACTAGTGGCTTTTAAATTTCAAGCATCAATGTAATTTGCAATCTATTAGACTCAGGGAGGACCTTAGGTCTTCTTTTTGCTTTTGGCTAGATGCTTTCAGTTAAAACAGGTTTGTAATCTTGACTGTTGCTTAAATTATTTATAAAATCTACTGTGGGGATCTCCCCCACAGTCCTTTGTTTCAAAAAAAAACGATGTTGTTGATTGTTGCCATTAAACTCGGCGACATCTGCTTGACGCAACAACTGTTGGCGCTTGTTACCGACAATATTGAATATGGGGCTGAGCATCAAATCTAGGACTTGGTGGTAACTATCATTAATTAAAGTCTTCTTTCCAAATAAATAATTCTCTCTTCTAAAAAAACTTGATGTTTTAGTTTTGTTCTAAATCAAACTATCTAAAGTTCGACTAAACTTATATACTAGAATACTAATGTTTATGTTACCAAATAAGTATCATTAGATTAGCCGTGCAACATATTTTCATAGTATATCAATTTGGTGTCATAAATGTTAGCAAACTTATCTATTGGTGGTTTAGACAAACATAAGATAGTTTGACTTAGAACAAAACTAAAATATCAAGTATTTTAAGGATAGAGGAGTATTTTTCAAGCAATATATGAAAGCAGTCTTCTAATTCCTTCCATTCAACCAAAGAATTCTCTATAATAATTCACAAATCTAAATATGCTGATTGTTCTCTAATACCACCTCCTCTAGTCGCAAATTTCCCGATTTCATAATGTTGCAAATCTTGGGTTAAAAAAAAGGGAGAAATATTGTGGTTACAAGATGAAGTTTGAAGTAGTAGGTTTTTTTAGCGTTGGGCCTAGCAGAAGAGAAATCACCATTCCACCAATTTCAAGTCTTTATTATGATTCCTTTTATGAGAAAACATGTCTAATGATTCAGATTCTCTCACTACTAATCTTGTATGTACTTTAGTATTCCTAATCACTCACTAACTGTTGATGGATTGACTTATGGTTATAAGTTTAAGTTATAGTAATAACTCAAAGTATTCTAGTAATGGAATTCCATATCCCAAATCTTTCATTCTTGCGCGCTTCAAGATATGATGACTAATCATCACATTTTATCCCAACTCCCAAAGACAACTAAATAAGTTATAAACCTTCTTGGCCTGAGGCCTGAGGCGACACAAGCAAGGAAATATGTAAGCCTCCTCTTACTAATAAGTATTTCTTATATATACCAATAATAAGTACAATAGATGGGATTGATCAATAAGCCATTTGTCGTGTGATTAAGACCAAGTTGTTGTGTGCATGGTTCCAAAGGGGTGTTTGGGACTGCTTCGCTCCATGTTTTTTAGCCAAACGATTTCAGTTCCATGCACTCTAAAGGATGGAGTCGTGAAAACACCTAAAGAGGTACTCCACAAACTCTAGTTTCTTTATGGAGCTGCTTCACGGTGAAGTTTGTGGAGCAGTCTCAAATACCCTCTAAATATAGCCTGTTATACCTTTTTTAAGGCCTACCCCTACGATATTACTAGTTGTTCTACTGTTATATAGCTATCAACGTTTCAGTCACTAAACACTGCTATTTGGCTTACCATGAAATTAGTTTAACTCCACTGATCTAGACCAAGGTAAATATTCATAATTTGTTCTAGATTACTAGAATAACTTACTGGAATAACTGCCGAGTTGTTGATTGTTTGTTTATGTGGATTATTATAACCTTGAGTGTATATATTGATTGATTAAATGACTAAGTAATTGACCTTGCAGACATGCTATCCTAGAGCACTGGACATATACTTATTTAAGTATTTATATTTATGAAATTTCCTTATTTTATATTACTATGCATAACTAATTGAGAATTTTCATGTTTTTAATAATAATGAAACCACTAAATATTGTTGACATATCTCGCTATAGCGTTTTATAAATAATGTTGAAGGATGGCTTACCTTGGTTGTGTGCATTTGTATAGCAACACATAGAATGTTTAGTTAGAGGCCGGCTTCATATTCAACTTGTAAGCCACTTTCCACACTCTTCAACTCGTAATTTAATATTTTGTCCAACCATATTCGACGTAGCAGTTACAGGCATCCTTCCTAATCCTATTCATAGTAAGAAATCCTGTAGCTTCGGCAAATGACCTAATGGCTCGAAAAAATATTCTAATTTTAAGCTGCAACCATTTGGCCATCTGGACCTCTAGTCAGATTCCCTTTCTCTTCAGAGTCTGTCACACACTAGATGCCAAGAAAGAACCTTTTAAACCACCGTATCAGGGATGCTAATTTTGTTCTATATTCTTGCTTATATATACCTCATCTCAGTGTACAAAATAGGTTCTTGTAGATGTCGTGCTGTAGTTGCACATTCTGCTCCTCCATATCCTTCTGACCAGAGGTCGTCGGGGCAACCAGTAGTGCCGGGGATGCCTGCCGCGGTGACGATAGTGGCGGGGGCGATGTCCCTCGCCGTGGCGTACGGCCAGCTCCTGAGCCGACCGGACGACCTGGCGCTGGCGTGCACGGCTTCCACGGCGATGTACTTGATGGTGCACTACGCCGCGCAGGCCATGGGGTCGTCGTCTGCGGGCGGCGACGAAGGCAGTGTTGAAGACGCCGAGAGGGCCCGTGGGAAGCGCGTGGCGCTGGCCATGGCGCTGGTCCTCTACGGCCTCGCATGCGCTGAGGTCTGGGACTTCGCCGCGAGCAGGGAGATCGCCGTGGCCGCGCTCGCGAGCTGGTGCGGCGCGGCTGTGATGCTGCTGGTTTACTTGGTTGTGGCAAGGGCAAGCTGCGCTGGCGGATGCTACAGTGCTCTTGCTACTGACGTGCCGTAGAGCACAAATCGTGCGCGACGATCGACATACTTGTATTTGACCGACTCCATGTAGCTAGGACTATTAGTATCTAGCTGCATATATGCATGTGTATGATACATATAGTTCTTTTTTTTTCTTTTTACGGCTCGCTCTCAAATAAATCAACTTTTCGAGTTGTTTTAAGTCAAACTTTTGTGACTTCAAACATGAACTATAGTTTCTCATACTGTGTTTATGTGGTATAAATATCCTTTTTCTATAAGTATTTCTTATATATACCAATAATAAGTACAATAGATGGGATTGATCAATAAGCCATTTGTCGTGTGATTAAGCACCCAAGTTGTTGTGTGCATGGTCCTAAAGGGGTGTTTGGGCCTGCTTCGCTCCACGTTTTTCAATTCCGCTCCACGTTTTTTAGCTAAACGATTTCAGTTCCACGCACTCTAAAGGATGGAGTTGTGAGAGCACCTAAAGAGGTGCTCCACAAACTCCAGTTTCTTTGTGGAGCTAATACTTCACGGTGGAGTTTGTGGAGCAGTCCCAAACACCCTCTAAATATAGCCTGTTATACCTTTTTTAAGGCCTACCCCTTCGATATTACTAGTTGTTCTACTGTTATACAGCTATCAACGTTTCGGTCACTAAACACTGCTATTTGGCTTACCATGAAATTAGTTTAACTCCACTGATCTGGACCAAGGTAAATATTCATAATTTGTTGTAGATTACTAGAATAACTGCCGAGTTGTTGATTGTTTGTTTATGTGGATTATTATACCTGGAGTGTATGTATTGATTGATTAAATGACTAAGTAATTGACCTTGCAGACATGCTATCCTAGAGCACTGGACATATACTTATTTAAGTATTTATATTTATGAAATTTCCTTATTTTATATTTCTATGCATAACTAATTGAGAATTTTCATGTTTTTAATAATAAAAAAAACCACTAAATGTTGTTGACATATCCCGCTATAGCGTTTTATAAATAATGTTGAAGGATGGCTTACCTTGGTTGTGTGCATTTGTATAGCAGCACATAGAATGTTTAGTTAGAGGCCGGCTTCATATTCAACTTGTAAGCCACTTTCCACACTCTTCAACTCGACCGTAAACTAATATTTTGTCCAACCATACTGGACGTAGCAGTTACAGGCATCCTTCCCTAATCCTATTCATAGTAAGAAATCCTGTAGCTTCAGCAAATGACCTAATGGCTCGAAAAAAGATTCTAATTTTAAGCTGCAACCATTTGGCCATCTGGACCTCTAGTCAGATTCCCTTTCTCTTCAGTCTCTGTCACACACTAGATGCCAAGAAAGAACCTTTTAAACCACCGTATCAGGGATGCTAATTTTGTTCTATACTCTTGCTTATATATACCATATCTCAGTGTACAAAATAGGTTCTTGTAGATGTCGTGCTGTAGTTGCACATTCTGCTCCTCCATATCCTTCTGACCAGAGGTCGTCGGGGCAACCAGTAGTGCCGGGGATGCCGGCCGCGGTGACGATAGTGGCGGGGCGGCGTCCCTCGCCGTGGCGTACGGCCAGCTCCTGAGCCGACCGGACGATCTGGCGCTGGCGTGCACGGCTTCCACGGCGATGTACTTGATGGTGCACTACGCCGCGCAGGCCATGGGGTCGTCGTCGTCGGGCGGCGACGAAGGCAGTGTTGAAGACGCCGAGAGGGCCCGTGGGAAGCGCGTGGCGCTGGCCATGGCGCTGGTCCTCTACGGCCTCGCATGCGCTGAGGTCTGGAACTTCGCCGCGAGCCGGGAGATCGCCGTGGCCGCGCTCGCGAGCTGGTGCGGCGCGGCTGTGATGCTGCTGGTTTACTTGGTTGTGGCAAGGGCAAGTTGCGCTGGCGGATGCTACAGTGCTCTTGCTACTGACGTGCCGTAGAGCACAAATCTTGCGCGACGATCGACATACTTGTATTTGACCGACTCCATGTAGCTACGACTATAGTATCTAGCTGCATATATGCTTGATGGATGTGTATGATACATATAGTTCTTTTTTTCCTTTTTACGGCTCACTCTCAAATAAATCAACTTTTAAAGTTGTTTTAAGTCAAACTTTTATGACTTAAAACAAGAACTATATTTTCTCATACTGTGTTTATGTGGTATAAATATCCTTTTTCTATAAAAGTTGGCCGACCAAACTTATAAAAGTTGCTACTACAATAAGCATTTGTAGAGGCGGCTGACGATGGTTTGTAGAGGCGGCTCGACCAGCCGTCCCTACCATATCGTCTCTACAAATCATGCATTTGTAGGGACGATTCCCAGACCGCCCCTACAAATCGATTTGTAGAGGCGGCTGGTGTTATGAGACGCCCCTACAAGTCTATTTGTAGGGGCGGCTCACCAGCCGCCTCTACAAAATCGATTTGTAGAAGCAGTTCGGTCTAGAACCGCCCCTACAATATATTTTTTTATAAAAAAAATTTAAATTTACAATTCAAATTCGACCGGAACACACACACACATATATATATATATATATATATATATATGTGTATGTATGTATGTATGTATGTATGTATGTATGTAATTCAAATCTGACCACAAGCACAAGAGCATTATATAAACTACCATTACAAGTCCAATTCATAAGAATATATATTCAATCAATCATTAAATAGACATAATTCACAAGTCTAATTTGTTCCACAAGTCCAAACCGTCCCACAAGGTAAGACCAATATCAAATTCCATACACATTGTTATCAACTGTCTAGAGCTAGTCTTTCCCAATTGAGAGTATATATTTAAGTGCATAGCAAAAAAACAATATATCTAGAATAGCAAAACATTTTATAATTTGGGGAGACAGTACCTTTTAGTTTCTCCTTTTCACCAAATACAAGCTTACCGTGCACATAAGCTAGGAAGATTCTAAGTCGCACAAACATTATTTACATTTTATTTTACTACAGATACTTTAGTGGCATACTGCAAACCTCTTTTGCAGCATTGAAGTAGAGTAGAGAAAGGACATATTTGAATAACTACACCATCTGTTTCCTGAGCTAGACATACTTAGTGAAATGACAAGGCCTAAGAAAATGGACTCGCATGCCAAAATGGAGTAACAATAGCGTTTGACCTTTATATTGTATTATGTAAAGAGCGAACATCTGTTGTTGAAAAAAATGAAGCGAGCCAGCTATTGTTATAGGTGGATGCAAAGTCTCAAATGGTGCTTGTTGTGAAGACCAATAAATCAGGCTCTGATGAAGGACAAGTGACAGAACCCACAATAGCTCAGAATGACCATGCAGCTTTAAAAAATGCAAGGAGCTTCGATCCTGTTGAAGGCGATGAATTCTGTGACTACTAAGAATCAGAATGCCCAGACTGGTGCATGATGGGAGCATTTCTGCCAGTGAAGAAACAAACCACAGTGCAAAAAATATCACTATCGGCTATACAGCAGGCTGCTGTACTTGCAGAATGCTTGCATGTGAGCCGGAGGAGTCGTAGTGATGAAATGTCTGGTATGTCTGTTTTCATTCCCCGTGGACACTTGTGATTTCCCCCCACCTGTTTTAAGCATGCAAAGAAGTTTATTTGGCATCACAATCTTGTTTGCAAATAGAGTTCTGGGCGACAAAGATGGCTTCAATTGTTATACTTTCTAAATTATTTTAAATGAGAGTTCTGGTTTAGTTGCTTTTCACATATATGCATGGAGAATAAAGTAGCTCCTTTAGTAATAGCATTTAGTTTATTTTGATCATGCGAAGGCATTGAAAATTCTGAATTAAAAGTGTCAGACATTTTTTTTGCATGGACGAATTTTAGATTCCAAATGAAAAAAGTTTGTTTAGTAGATAGCATTGAAAATCAAGTTGTCATAGTTTGACATGCCATTTCAGTTTTTATTTGTATGCAGACCATTTCTTTTTACTTAATATTGCATACTCCCTCAGACAAAAGTATGAAGTAGATCTTATCTTAGCACATGAACCCAGAAGGCATAAAAGATTACTGGACTACCCTAATTCGTGTCTCTTACGCGGTTCCTGATCTAGCCGCCCCTATAAATATTTTCTATTTTATTAAATTATTAATTCTGTATTTTTTATATCACAAAAACACAAAGTAAATATATATAATATTTTGTATTATTCTATATATGCACAAATATATATATATATAAATAATTTGCTGATATTCAAAATAATATAGAAAACAAAAAAATCAAAAATTAAAAATTTGAATTTTAAAACTTCGACTACAATTTTAGGACATTAAACGACCTAAAATGAAAATGTTGTAAACATAAAAGTTGTATAACTCATTAACATGTACAACTTTTATTTTGATCATCTTGTCATGTGACTTTGTTTGAACGATTCAAAATTTTAAATTCAAAACAATTACAACTTGAAACAACATTTTAAAAGAGTATATGATTTCAACTGAAAAAGTCATGAATATAAAAGTTGTACAACTCATCAAGATGTACAACTTTTATTTTGGTCATCTTTTCATGTGATGAACTTTGAATGGTTCAAAATTTGAATTTCCGAAAATGACAACTTCAAACAAGATTTTGAAACACTAAATGATTTCAGCTTGTCGACACAGAATTTTCGTCTCCGTGCCGAGGACACACGCAGCAAGTGAAAGGGTCCGCTCAATGGAGCAGATCCGCCTGGCTTTAGTGCTAGGGTGGTCGATCCTGCGCAATCCTCCCAAGACATGCCACTCAATTTGACCATGTAATTGACAAGTAGAGAAAATTTATCAGTAATTAAGGACGGAACGTGCCGGTGTTGCCAGACAGTCCCGAATATGTGGCTCTGAGAGCCGATAGGAAAGGAAATCGACTAAATAGTCGATTCTAGTATATTCATAAGAACAAATCGGTTAATGCTCATGTGATTGTGTAAGAAGAATCGGTTATCTTTCAGGATAAACATAATTCGAGCAAAAATTAATCAAAGACAATAAGATATCAACAATGATTGGTTTAAACTGAGCTAATGATTACAAGTAACCGAACCCCTTTTTATATAAAGAAATAATTCAACACCACTGAACCATTTAATAAAGACAAATCTAATGAACATGGTAGATCTTATCTATCGCCATGACCAGTGGGGCATGAGGCAGAATCATGCAGGCCGTACAAATAACAATAGACTCAACGACGCTAACTCATTACTAATATCAGTGAGGCATGAGGCAGAATCATGCAGGCCGTAATATAATAACAAGATCATGGGGCTAACATATCTTTTAACTTATCTCTACTTCAACGGTCTCGTAACGTGAACTGTTCGTGAAAGCACTCGATATCGGCTAAACAGTCGATTCAGGTATAGCGCACAATTAAGGCCATGCATTCTCAGAAACAGATCTATCAACCAACGATCCCCACTCCACGGTGTTAACAGTGGGGTGAGAGGCAGAATCCCACAGGCCGTGATAACGGGCCATGAAATAGTTCTCGCTAACTAATAGATCTACTCAAGATCGAACATGCCTTAACCGCACGCTATGCACGATTAAGATTGATGTAAAACAGCCGATAAAAACATAACTCATCGTTTAAGGCGTAGATTAGATCAGTTTTAGATTAGCAAACGATGGGTTAAACAAGATATAAGGCCGATCCAGATCAATCTCAATCGGGCAGAGTGATATTGCTGTAATTAGATAAATAATAAAAGCAACAAGCAATATCGGTAACTTAATGAATCTACCAAAGACTGTCATTCAAAGGTAGAGCCGATAACTTGACCTTGATCTAGTTCAAGCAGTGGGGTGTGAGGCAGAATCACACAGGCCATACTTGAACTAGGTAAGAGTCGATAACTAGCCTATACCAGAGTCGCAGTGGGGGTCGACCGGATCGATACAGCCATACGAACAGAGGTATAAACCATGACGATACTTACAAACAAGCAGTGAAGGTCGACCGGATCGATGTAGCCGTACTCGCTGAAGAACTCACCGAGATCTACTCTACTCCTACTCCTAAGGGGTGGCCGGAGCCAAAAAAGTAAATTAACTTATATTTAATTGATTGATGTCGCTTTACAATAGCCGAGGTTTGATATTTATATCCGGAGTCTAAATATGAATCCTACTCGAGCACGATTTGTTACAACTTTTGGCATAAAAATAAAAACATTCCTAATTTAAGATAACTTGGACTCTAATCTTTTCCTTTTTGTAGAGTCCAGCATGTTTTAGTAGTAATAGAGTGGATGTTACAATAGGTTCATCTGGATGTTGCAAAGGGTAGTCTCACACACACCCATAAATATATAGTCTCACACACATACATAAATATATAGTCTCACACACATGCATAAATGAAGTCTTACAAACACACACTTATACAAATACTCCACGTTCAACAACTAGCTAGCTCTCTGTAATGACTTTTTCCTTGACACCTTTTCGTTCCCATAGCAATATGTCTTTGGGTAGGTTCTTTTTCACAACATTGATCTTCTTAGGAAAGTCTATGATTAGCGGCATCTTATCGTAGTTATTGTAAGCTTGAACATCGTCCACGCCATCAACTCTGATAATGTTCTATTTGCCGAAGGCAACCACGTGCTTTGTCTTCTTCTTCGGGAGAGGTTACCTTGTGGGTCAGGTATATAGAAAACTTGTGCGACACGTGAAGCGAGCACCCAAGGGTCATCTTGGTAGCCTAGATTCTCGAGGTCCAGGACTCTCAATCCGATCTAGTTCAGTTGGTGTTGTTTGATCCAGCGGCATCAAAACAGGACCACCGTTATATCCCTTCCATAGTCAAGTTCTCATATCTCTTCAATGATATCAAAGTATTGGATCTTTCGTCCCACTCTATCGAGAGCTTCTATTCGAAAGCCACTGTTTTGGTTCACATATTTACTATCCTTTGCGTGG